TCAGACGTGGCCAGAAGCAGTCTCGTGTACACTTTTCCGTTCTTTTCCTTGAGCTATAATAGGGCAATTTTCTCGTGTCCCGCGATTTGAGTGTCGGTCGCTCCCGCTGGCAAAGGCGCAGCAGCAATCTCCGCTCCCGACATGACCCTACTCAGTCCAGCTTCGGACATGAGGGACCGAGTCAGCGTGACCCAACCCTCGAATTGGGCCGGATCCCCGCTGAACGACACATAACCCCTCTGGAGATGGTTCAATGATTGCGCCATGTTGACTCAACGTGGTTCCCCTACCGCGCCAGGCGCATGACCTGTTGGGCGTACTAGCGGGACCTCACCGCTCTTGTACGTTGTGGTTGGCGTATGTGACGCAAGAGGCTCGGGTAGAGANAGGTTCAATGATTGCGACATGTTGACTCAACGTAGTTCCCCTACCGCGCGAGGCGCATGACCTGTTGGGCGTACTAGCGGGACCTCACCGCTGTTGTACGTTGTGGTTGGCGTATGTGACGCAAGAGGCTCGGGTAGAGAAACACAGAGTGACCATTATTTCACACATCGGCGTCCAAGCTGCCTTCACCTGACGGTTATAGACTTGGATACACGCCTTCACCATACTGCACCAAACCCTGCAGTAGAATAGAGTCAGTTCTTGCACACAGTTCTCCCAACACGTGCTACCATTGGCCCGTTTANCGGAGTATGTGACGCAAGAGGCTCGGGTGGAGAAACACAGAGTGGTCATTATTTCACACATCGGCGTCCAAGCTGTCTTCACCTGACGGTTACAGACTTGGAGACACGCCTTCACAATACTGCACAAAACCCATGCAGTAGAATAGAGTCAGTTCTTGCATACAAATCCCAACATGTCCTCTCAAGAACTACGTCATGACTAGCTCTGATACATAAGACACAAAATTCTTTCTCTCAGTNGTGGATACACGCCTTCACCATACTCCACCAAACCCTGCAGTAGAATAGAGTCAGTTCTTGCACACAAATCTCCCAACAGGGGTCGGGTCGGTAGGGGGCCTCGGACGAGGGAACGGGCGAGGCGAGGCCGGGGTGGGGAAGGCGAACGTGGCGGGAGAGGGTCAAGAGCAAGACGTGGAAGGGGAGGG